GATGGGGCGACGTGGGAGCTTCTGGGTCGCGCATGCGAGACCACGGGGCGTACAGCTTGGCTACGTGGGGCGTACATGGGTACCCTCGCATCAACCTCTTCCGACTTCTAAATTCCGTAACTTTCGCATACGAGTTCCGTTTTCGACATTTTTTATATCCACGTGTAGGTGGCGATGTACTCTACAACTTTCTTTTAGACTCCGTCGGTTAATTTTGACTTTATTTTTAAAGTTATATTTTAACAGGTCTGGACAGATAAAGTCTGTTAAAAATTCATAACTTTGTCATCCGACGTCCATTTTCGTCTGTCTTTATATCGTTGAGTTCTTATTAACGAGATCTTCGATTCTCGTTTAGATTGTGTCGGCTAAAAATCGGTCGATCTAAAATTCGAATTTTGGGTTGTGCACTCTTATACTAAATCTTAGAAAAATCATAACTTCCTCATACGAGGTCATATTTGGACGTTCTTTTTATGCACACTCTCGTTTTGACGTATACTACGACTATCATTTAGATCGCTAAGGCTAAAAAGTATTTTATTGCAAACTCACTTTTTACGATTCCCGGTGTCCACAGGTCATAAATTTTTCGTTATAAGTCAGATTTCAACATTCATTATATCCCCAAAATCCTTGTTACGACTACTTCAACTTTCTTCATAGATACTGGGTCTATCTATTATTTTATTTTTGATGCTTATTTTTATTATTATTTTATTACGTCGTTATAAATAAGTATAATGCACACGAAATCACATAAATCACATAATACTCAAGTAATTCCTCTTTATTACTTCCAAACAGGTTACAATTGTTGACCCTAACTATTACATTATCATACTAATTCTTAGCCAAAAACATAGGCGTTACAATAACAAGATGTAGGGATATTAAGAGATTTAAGAATAGAGTATACCTTGTCGACCACCTTCTCACATTCGCTCACCTGCTCCATGATTGTCTTCGTAGCCAAACAACTCTCAGAAGCTTTTCCTCCATCAATTTCATATCCTTTCCTTTCCAAACCGCTACTCTGAACCATCAAACACCTTCCTACATAACCTTGCTTCTCGGAATTGACCACGAAACACCCACCATGAGTAGGTTTCCTTACTTCTTCATCTTCCGAGTCAGTGGACCACACTTCAACTTGCCCATCATCGCTGCCTTCTTGCACCATTAACACAAGTTTCGCAGCTGATACATTTCTCTTCTTGAGTTCTTCTATCTTCTGAGTGTAGTAAGCTTCGTCTTTAACATGCTCCTTCTTCTCATTCTGCTTACGCATCATGCACTCATTCGCGAAATGATTCTTGCCATGACAATAGTTACAGTCATATCCATGATCACCTAGCAAAATTTTCTCTTTCTTCTCTTCGTCATTCTGAGAATTCTTGTAACTCTCCCCTCTTGGCTTTTCGTAACTGGAATTGACCTGCTTATTCTTGTTTCGGAAACAAGAGAAATTCTTCTTAAAGAATTTTGTTAGGTTAGATACCATTAACGCCTTGTCTTCTTTAGAGAGTTCATCATCCGAAATGTCAGATTCAGAATCATCAACAATTGATTTATTTCCTTTAGCAACCAACGTCAAAGATCCAACACTAGTAACAAGCTTTGCTTCCTTAGTAACTTCATCTTCGTGAGATTTCAGAATACCCACGAGTTTTGCCAACGAATAGCTTTTGAATTGTTCATGTGCCTTAACGGTAGAAACTATAGACTTCCATTCGGATCTGAGACCATTCATGAATGTTACCTTCTGTTCAATGACTTGTCGCTTAAGATTGTATTTAAGCATTCTACTTAACAAGTGATTAAAGTGATTAACTGTCTTTTCTAAATTCTCATCTGGTTTCTACACAAAAGATCCCAATTCTGACAGAAGTGTCGTCTGCAAAGAATGCTCCAAGTCGGCATCACCTTAATATAATTCCTTCACTCTATCCCAAATTCCTTTTGTAGTGTCGCATGCACTAACAAGACAAAATGGGTAAGGAGGAAGAGCAAATCGAATGATTCTCACTGCACTTAAATTGGACATCAGCGGGAGAGTGAATTGGTTGATCAAATGATGGCCGATAACATGATGGTGATTGAAGGTTTAGTGATGGAAGGTTTGAAGATTTCTTTTTGTTGGTTATTTGGGTTTTTTTTGGTTGAGATGAAGACATTTTTATTTTGGTGAATTGAGAGTATGCGAGGGAGATAATAATATTTTGTGTGTGTGTGAAATGTTGAGAATGTGGTTTGATTTATAGTATTTGAATTATAGACGAGGGTGTGGTTGAAAGTTAAATGAATTAGGTTGAAATTTATAAATGTTTTTTTTAGTTAAAGTGTATATTAAATGTATATAAAATCGTATTGTGATGTTTTTTTTAGTTAAAGTGCATATTAAATGTATATAAAATCGTATGTGGAATATAAATTGGTGAATTAATTCAAAGGGTAAGAAATTTTTAATTTTTGTTTATTAAAAACATTTGTTTTTTTTATGAAAGTAGTGAAATTGTAATTATAAATTTTGAATTTTATTATAAAAAACGTTTTTTTTATTATCTTATATAAATAGTTTGTGGAAATTAAATGGAGGATTTAAGTTGGGCAGTCAAAAAAATAGCTATCCGGTCAAAAGCTTTTGTACCAATCACATCACGCCAATCTTCTCTCTTTCTTCTCGCCATAGTGTCAACGGGTATCTTTTGGCGAGCCCCATAACGAGCGTTAGGCTGTGGGGTGTGGGTGCGGTCTTTACCGCACCTTTTGCCACATAAGCAGGGGAACACCGCCCCCTGACTGCGGTTTGGTGCGGTTTAGGCCGCAGTGCGGTACTCCCTTGCTGCACTTTCACTCTCTCTCTCCTCTTTTATTTGTTCTCTCTCTTCTCTTTCAACCAATCACATTCTTCTTCTTTTTTTTTCTTTTTCTCTCTCTTTACCATAATCTCACTCCCTTGGTGTGGCATGAAACCACACTTGTATGGTAAAAAGTGACGTGCCGCTTATGTGGCGGGGGAGGGAGTGCGGTTTCGGTGGCACCACTCCCTCCAGCCTTAGAGGGCGGTGTTCCATTCCTCTTGATGAGTGTACCGAGCTGGTAGCGAGTGCCCACTCCGTTCAACCTAAGTGGAGGTGGTGTTCAGATGTTATGTTATGTGTGAGAGAGAGAGAGAGGTACCACGTTGGCACCTCTACGCGGCTAATGGCCCGTGTATGCTCTAAAAGGGCTTTATGGCGTCATCCCCCGAATTAATAAAATCCCCACTTTCCTACTCCAAGAGTCAAGGTTCATTCCATTTTTTTCCTCTTTGCTTTCACGTTCACTTTTTTACTAGACAGCTCCAGCTTCCATATGGCGACGGCCAACGATGGAAGGTCTCCTTACGAAAGCGGCGCAGTCGAAGAAAGGTTCCGTAAGAGGCCTTTCCGACCAGGTTCAACACTTTTGCTCTCAGTTAGACAAGTTACAATTATATATAGCCCCTGTGAGCTTCCTTAAGACCTATATGGTTGTATTTAGATCCTATTTATTAAGACTATTGTAGGGTATTATAATTGATGTGGCTATGAATTAGGGTTTTCTTTTGTCTTCATTGGGTGATTGCTGCATTGTTTTTCATTTAATTAGGTTTATTTCTTTGGCGCATTCATTGATTAGATTTTTTTCTTTGGCCCATTCGTAGGATGAGATCTGCAATTTCAAATTGTTTGGGCGTTAATTTGGCTGGTAAAATATGCTTATCTCTTATTATATCGTACGTAGTGTCTTATTTTTAGAAATGTTTGTGTACTCATTGCTGCATGTTTTTTACTGCTAGAGGTTTTCTTCAATATGGTTGCAGAGTGCAAAAAGCTACTTCTGTCTAAGTAATCAGTCAATTTAGGTTTACATATAGTTTTTACTCAGTTGCCGATAAGTCGGTAACTCTCAAAATAAATAAATTATCTGAAACATAATCATAGTTGTCACGTGGTCAAATCATTATATTAGAATATACTAACCGTTTCATCATCGCATGGATCACTGTCTTCATACTAGTTATGAATCTAAGCATCCATTTATCTCTCATTGATATGCATTTTAAATCATTTTGTTGTAATAGTTGACCATGTCGTTCTTGTAAATGTTTTTGCATGTCTGGAACTTAAGATATTGATATTAGATATCCTTTGCATTACCTCACTTGTATTTCTGCGTACATGCCTCTTACAAAAGCTCTTATTTGACCAGAGATTTGTGAAGAACCCCAAAATGTTTCTCATGAGGCAGGGCCAAATGTAAGTTTCTTAATTCATGCTTCCTGTGTGTGCATTCTGAATCATTGTAATTGTGTGCTTAACATATTAAAATGTTGTATAATGGTGTCAATACTTAAGGCTAATAGCTTTTTAATTTTTTGCTTAATTGCAATTTGAAGTTTTTAAACTGCATTTATTTTTCACATATTAATTTTTAATCAAGTTGTTTCTCGAATTTTGCTAATTTTAGTTTAGTGGACAAATAGTAATATATTTTTTTGTTTGGTTTTGTGATATATCTCCATGGCTTGTGTTTCTGTTTGATCGTACTTTCTATATATTATCTCTAATAACAAGTGGCATCCTCATATTAGTTCAACTTGGATGCCCTTTCCAAGAAGTTGTGAACAAATACAATCCATTGATTCATGTGAGTTGCAAGTGTTTTTATCTTTGCTCATAAGGTGATAAATGTTGACAGTTGTAGTGGGGCGAATTTGTTTCAACACTTTACTTTGCTATCTTGGTTTTCTTGTATTAACACATCCATATCACAAGTTCATTTAGACTATGAATCCAAGAACCTGTTATGTTGTTGACAACAGCCGCTCTAGAAAACCTCGTCTGCTAATTTGTTAATAGTTTTTAGTCAATACTTGAGAGTCATTACAATTAACTATTAAAAATAGATGGAGGGGATTGTTTAATTGTTGGTTGTAGTACTTTTTTTACGAGTTGATTAATAATGTGTACTCGTCTCAATTCCTTATACTACCATTTTCTCTGTAACCATTTTAACCTCAATGCACTCTTGGTTTCCTGAAATGAAGAAATCAACTGGAGCATCAGAATTAAGCACTCATCAAGTTGGAAATTTTGCTAGCATTTCTTCTGCCACTGGGATATCAGAGCTTGAACAAATGGTGAAACAAATGACTTTTACTAGGTTGGTCTTTCTTTTAGTAAAATCCTACACTGCTATTAGCCTATTACTTCATACTGCATATGTAAACTGAGTTGTGTGCTCATTTGTCAATAAGCTGCTTTACTTTTTCACATGACATACTTGCCAAAAACTTGCTTTTGAGCCGTTAAAAGCGGTCAATGCATCAATCAATTAGTAAATTTGGCTGTGTTTCTATATTGATATTTGTTGCCAATTTAATTTAGTATGGAGAGCAGAAAATTTGTTTAAGTGGACAGAAATGGCACTGCTTTTCGTTTTATATAGTGGTTAATTTCATAATATTCTTATTCTTTGGAATTGTTCTGGCACTACTGATGTGATATATATTGCTGCTACAGGTATGAAGCACAGCGCTTGATGGCTTTGGTGCATTCCAGAATCATGGAGGAGTCACTAACTCCTCTTTTAAGGCTTGAAGCATCAACAACAAGTGGCCCGATGAAAAGACATAAACATGGAGATGAGAGGGATAACTTCCATGCTTCCATTGTCAGTTCAAGGATGAGTAATATCTTCTTGCTCATCTTTTAAGCAAAACAATTCCTTAGCGTATTTTCAAGTCCAATATATTATTATATATTGTCTTCAGGTTCTTGAAGATGAGATTGTTCGAGATTCAACGTTTACTAATAATAATGGGACACACCTTCCAATCACATCAATGGCTTCAACGCAACACCCGGCGACTATGGAGAATCTCCCGGGGGAGCTTTTAGAAAACATATTCATCCGCTTATTTGCCAAACAACTTGCTCAAATGAGATCAGTCTCCAAATCATGGAATGCCCTTTTATCTCATTCCTCTTTTGTAAAATCCCACCTCCATCGTTCCATCCATCACAACGATCAAATTCTCTTGGTCTTCCAAGATGAAGAAGAATTTTCTTCTTTTTACTACTTTAAACCATTCACTGCAAAACTGAGTCGATTTCTCCGTCTTAAGGTCGCTAATTTCATCAAAGTCCCAGTTAACCCCCAATCCGGACATACAGATAGCATCAGGATTATTGGCACTGTTAACGGCTTAACATGCTCTTCCTACAATAATGATTCTGTCATTCACATTTGGAACCCTTCTCTTTCAGCCGTGTCAACTCTTCCGCCATATTCCACGCCCTCCCCTTGTTACAGTTCGATCAAAGTCTATTTTAGGTTTGGTTTTGATCCCAAAACAGATGATTACAAAGTTGTCAAGCTCACAGGCCTTAGCGGACCCACATATGTCGTTAAATCGTGGCTGCAAGTCGAGATTTATAGTATGAGAAAGGGTTTGTGGGAGATGATCACTGAAAGGTTTCCCTCACACATCACAACCATTACCAATGGCAATTATGTTTGTGTGGATGGCCATGCCGGGCATCTTCATTGGCTTGGTTATATTAACAGGAAGATGGGTCCAAAAACAATAGTGGCATTTGATTTGGGTTCAGAGACATTCCGTGAGATACCTCCTCCAGATTCTATACTAGATGGAGATGATAACCGTCAAGATATTTTAGGAGTTTTGGCTGAAAAGCTTTGTGTGATTACACATTTTAGGGTTGATGGTACTTGTGATGTGTGGGTGATGGATAAGTATAGGGTGGCTGAATCATGGGTGAAACGCCATGTCTTCTCACTGATTATAGGTGATTATACATCTGTATTTGGATTCACATCACGCAATGAATTTCTCTTTGAGGATATGGATACGTTGTCTTGTACGATCCAAATGCAAATGCACTGAAACTATTTGAGCATTATTGGCGTCCAGATTGTTGGATACAAAACATCGCGGACTATGTCGACAGTCTTGTTTGGGTATCACCTGCCAAGTATGAGATGGTGGATGATGATGGAGGAAAAAATTGAAATGAAGAGACTTCAAGTATGATGCAGTGTTTCTTAATTAGGTTTATCTATAGTATCCATTTTTAATGCGTTACATCTACAGTCTTTCTTGTTGTTCAATCTGATATTCTAATGCAAACAGGTTAACATTTGCACATGTTGGTTTACATGAAACAGATGTCTAGCCTTATTTTATTTAGGGTAAATTACATGAAGGTCCCTAACATCTAGGATAATTTGGTCCCTAATTTTTTTTTTTAACTCGGCCCATCCCTCTACTCTACTGGTTTAATTGGTTTAATTTTTGTTCGTGGTTAGTCTAGAAGAGACCTCAAATGACTCTTGTACCTTTATCTATATGTTTTTAGCTTTTTTATTACTGATTTTATTTTTTTAATGATATTAATTTTAGTGGGTTCCAATCCATGTTACCTCTTGCTCACAAACACACATACACGTACTCAAGTTCCTCTCTGAAAATCACTGAAAAGTAAAAATCAATAGATATCATTTCAGGCCTCTCTCTCTCTCTCTCTCTCTCTCACACACACAAGTGGTACATATAACCAGCACCTCCGACAAGCAACACTGTCACATCTGTCGACATCGTCTTCTGACGAATCATCGACTCTCCTCTACGCTGCAACTCCACCTCTAGACCTGCCCTCTATGTCACTTCTTGTTCGGAGTACGACGATGACTTGAGTGGTGGCACCGGTGATCTCCTTCTTGCCCTCCACTCTATTGAGTCTCATTTTCATCCACCCCAACAAACTAATCCCTTCCGCATCGGGATGTGCTCATCATTGCTGAAGAAGGTGCACATGTTGGGTGGTGGTGATGGTTGAGTTCACTAGCATTGTATTAGATCCGACTTCGAGTGTCCCAAATCAAGAGGAAGAATGAGATGGGTTTGTTTGCTGGGGAGGAAAACGAGCAAGGGAAGGGTATGCATATGTTTCAGCGGCTGTGGGTGAGAGGTGGTCGACAACGGAAGTATAACCTCCGACTTGTGATCGTTGGAAGAAGAATGGGATGGGGTTGGTTGCATGGGAGGAAAAACGAGAATGGGAAATGTAGGCGGATCTTTCTAACGGATGTGGGTGAGAGGCGATCGACATCATAGATTTCTGGCGGTTGTTATCTCATATGGTTCTCTAATGAGTTAGGGTTCTCTTATGGGTCAGGGTTCTAATAAAATAGGGTCAGAGAAGATAGAAGGATATAATAATATACATAATTAATAAATAAACTAAAAAATAATAGCCAAGCACAAAACAATTTTTTTATTTATGGTAGAGACCAAATACATAACAAACATTGAGGACTATCCAAGTTAAGAAAAGATTAGGGAACAACCATGCAAATTAACCCAAATCATAGAATGAAATTTACCCTTTTATTTATCACCCATGTTTATTGGTCACCCACAATCTACTTATCCTTGGTGGCAAAAATAAATAAATAAACAGTATATATATTTAAGCATTTGACTGGTATAATATAAAATTAATTTTTTAATTTTTTTCCTTTTTAATTTTAATGTCTATTTATTGAATAATATATTTATAGAAACATTATAAAAAAATATCAAAATTCATGGTTTAGTTTTGGGAAATCTTCAAAAAATTCATAATATTTTATCCTAATTTACAAAAAAAAGTCCAAAATTAAAATTTGTTTACGAAAAAATCCCAATTACTGGTAAAAATGACGATTTGACCCATTTTTCTCGGTTTACCGGTTTCATTACTTACCCCGTTTCATTAAAGTCTCATTATTTTACCATAATTTACGAATAAGTCTCAATATAAAATTAATTAACGATTTGGCCATTTTCTCCATTTAACATACATTTTACTAGGTTCATTGCTGATATGGACGTCTAGTCATTAAATTAGCTGATAAGATGGATATAATGGGTTATATAATGCTATGTTTACCGTAAAATTTGATATCCATCTCATCAGCTCATTTATAATTATGTATCCATATCAGCAATGAAACCGGTAAAATGTGTGTTTTTGGGAAAAATAGCGGGAAATGAGCTGATGAGTTAGATATACCGGGTTACATAAGATTAGATAGACAATTTGAAATTTCTTATAAACTTAAAAATGATGAATTTGTTGATAGTTTATGTAATTATTGCAGTTTTCGTTGGATGCATTTTATATTTCAAAAAATATACAGTAGATTAGGATATCATTTTTTATGATAAACATGACATTATATAACCCAACATATTCATATCATTAGCTCATTTAATGATTATGCGTCCATGTCAGGAATAACACCGGTAATATGTATGTTACAGGGATAAAAGGGCTAAATCATCAATTAATTTTAGTTTGGGACTTATTCGTAAATTATGGTAAAATAATGAGACTTTAATGGAACCGGGTAAGTAATGAAACCGGTAAACCGGAAAAAATGGTCAAATCGTCATTTTTTACCGGTAATTGGAACTATTTCATAAATAAATTTTAGTTTGAAGCTTTTTCGTAAATTAGGATGAAATATTAGGACTTTTCCGGAAATTTCCCTTTAGTTTTTTATACACTATAATATTAATGTATGAGAAATGACATTGTAGCCCTACGATGTTTTTCGCATTTGCCCATTCAGTCCCTTATGTCATTTTCCGTGCCTTTTAAGGGTACAAAGTTATTAGTGACCTGTCTTTCTAGTCCCTCTACCTTTAATAGCCATTTTCAATCCCTGTTACGCAACATTTTGCCATTACAAAGTGAAATTGAGAATGTAAAAGTCAAAATTATGGACGTCTAATTTTGCAATCGAGATTATCGGTTCTGATTCTTCTAATTACTTGTTGGTGTCATCACTGAGAGGAAATAAGGAGGTTGATGATTAAAAGCATGAATTAGTTAAATAGACAGATGAAATGGGTTTTAGATGAGGAAGTCACCGACTGACCCCTTTAGTTTTTACAAAAGGACATATTCGACCCGACAAAACCAACTTTGTTCCTTTAAAAGGCATGAAAATAACATAAGGGACTGAATGGGCAAATGTGAAAAACATCATAGGGCTATAGTGTTATTTTCACTTGATGTATTTTGTACACATATACGAAAGTGTTATACATAAAATGTATTGTTTGTTGTGTTAGGGTGTTGATAATTGATAAAAAAAATAATGAATTTGGTTAGTCATATATATTTTTTATAAAGTAATTGACATGAGTCTTGTGGGTTGGTGTGGTTGATCAAACGGGAGGCTTTGTTGGTGAATCATTGAGGCATGTTAGATTCACAGTGATTTTGGTTAAAAGAAAGGGTATCAAATTAAACCCCATATCCATCCATTGTTCTCAATAATGCAAGAATCCACTTAAACATCATATCATATCATATCACTATTAAAGAAACCTTCTTTTTTCTTTTCATCAAAATCATTTGAAACGCTCATGACTTTTCAATGTCTTTCTAATAATATTATAAATTAGTTAAATAATGTTAAATAAATAAAAAACATGTAACGTCCCAAAATTTAGAGCCAAAAATTTCATTTTTAAATAAGTAATTATAAAAACCAGTAGTCTGAAACATCAGTAGTGTCAACTCATTTCATAATCAAAAACCAGTATTTCAAATAACCAAAACATGTCATAGAAAAGTAATATCATAGTACAACTCCCAAAGATCTCATAATGTAGAAATCATAGTGTGATGCGATGCGATCATGCCGATTCCTTTCCTTTTGAAGAAGAAGTACCTGAAACACAAACTAAAACTGTAAGCACAAAGCTTAGTGAGTTTCGCCCATCATACCACATAATCACATACTGTCAGACATATCTGGGTGCCCGTCCTACCCTGTCAGGCATATCTGGGTGCCCAACCTACCCTGTCAAGCATATATGGGTGCTCGACCTACCCTGTCAGGCATATCTGGGTGCCCGACCTACCCTCCGGTTTATTTCAACCGGTTACGGGGTCTATTTCACCCCCTTACCACTACCACATAATAACATAGAAAATAAGCACATAAATCATAACAGATAGTGGCATACCAGACAATTATCACAAAGACAATCATCTTTACTATAAACAACTACTAGTGGGCCGGCATTGGTGCCTTCGACCCACTCATACAGGAAAGGAAACTCACCTCGAATACAGGAAAGTAGTTGAACATATCAACCCAACTCAGCCCCTAAACATTAAAGATTTCCTTAAATACCATTTCATACTCATATCCCCTTAAGGGTCAACTTTGGTCAAAGTCAAAGTCAAGGTCAAAGTCAAATCTCCGAGTTGACTCAACTCATCGAGTTATCCTTCAACTCGGCGAGTTTCCATAAATCACAGACTCGCGATATCTCGAATCAACTTGTCGAGTTTTCCCCCAAACTCGTCGAGTTCTTCCTTTTCAAAAGAATTGGGATACTTCAAATCAACTCGTCGAATTCCTCCATGAACTCGTCGAGTTCTTCAGTTTGTTAACCCTTTCTTAATGCATTAAGCCGTTATTCTTCAGATCTAAATCCTATATTCCAGATCTAGATTGGAAATGCCTCTAAAACTGTACCAATTAATACCCCTCTTAAAGAGATTAAGCTCAAACCCTAACCTTAAAAAGCTTAAGTCTTAATCCAAAAACCACCAAGACTTCAAGATAAATCATAGCAACATAGATCTGGACCATAAGGACTAGATGATCACGTAAAGTTTCCAGCCGTCTCTACATGCATGGCCTTTAGAAGCTCAAAAGGCCAAAATGATGGATTAGAGGTTACATGGGACCTCCATAGCCATAAAGTTGGCACTTTTATGCCATGAAAGTCTCTGAAGACCCTAGATCTGAAAGGGTTATCCACTTGGGACGTCCAACTCCTAAGGACCATGATATTTGGACAAAAACCAACGAAAA